TCATGTTTAATTGTTTATTAGCCAATGTGTAATGACCATCTTTGTCTCTGCTGATCAGTTTTTGCTTGAAATCCACTTTTTATGAAGTTAGGATAGCTATTCTTGCTTTTTACTGTGTTCCCATTGTATGGAATAATTTGTTCAATCTGTGCGTTTGATTGTTTTGTTTTGTTTTGTTTTTCATAGTGGGGATTGAACTTGGGTCCCTGTGCATGCAAAGCAGGTGCCGGAGCTACTGAGCTAAATCCCAGGCTAAGTTTTTTTTTTGTACCAGGTACTGAACTCAGACCTTGTGCTTGTAAGGCAGGTGGTAAAACCACTGAGCTAAATCCCCAACCCTGTGCATTTCCTTTTGAATTAAATGCATTTCTTGTATACTGCATATTGTTTAATTTTGTTTCTTGATCCATTCTGTCAATCTGTCTTTTGATAGAGGAATTAACACTACTCACATTTAGAGTTTTTACAGGTAAGTACTGACTTATTCTCTTTTTTTGGTTTGGGGGACTGGGGATAGAACTCCAGTCCTTGTATTTGAGAGGCAGGCAGCAGAACCACTGAGCTAAATCCCTGGCCCAAGTACTGACTTATTCTTGTCATTGTATCTTTTTTCCTGTTGATGATTTCCTTATTTTCTTTCCCTTCTATTTAACTATTACCCTTGCCAGGTGTATTCATTCTCTTAGACTTATTGACTTTTTTTTCATTTTCTCTTTTTAGGGTAAAACTTGAGGATTTTTTGTAACACTGGTGTGGTGGTCATGTATTTCTTGAGTGTTCCTTGTCAAGGTCATACCTTATTTCTCCATCAACTTTGAAGGGAAGTTTTTCAGGATGCGTAAAATCTGGGTTGGAAGTTGTTATCTCTTAGGACTTGAAACACTTTATTCCAAGCCCTCCTGGGCTCTAATGTTAGTGTTGATAAATCTACTGTAATTTTAATAGATTTAGAGTTCTGAGTGTTTCATTGCATTTCTGTATCAGCTTATAAGATTTTGTGGCTATGTTGGATTTCTGGTATTTTGACAATAATGTGGCATAGGGTTTTGACAGTGGCTATTTGGAGTTTTATATACCTCACTTATCTATATGTTTCTTTTTTCCCCTACATTTAGGGTAAGTTCTGTTTTTATTTCTTTAAACAGGTTTTTATGCCATTGGTGCTGTCATAGGCTCCTTTCTTTATTCTGGTAAATCTTTCATCAGTCTTCTTTGCATCATCTGGCAACTGTTGGATCTATTTTTCATGTTCTCTTATTACTTTTAAGGTATATTTCAGTAGCTGGTGTTTGGAAGCATCCCTATCTTGTAATTCTGAAATTCTGTCCTCATATTCCTCACTTCTGCTTCCCATACTTTCAATATAATTTTTTATTTCCTCTTTGAAACATTTTCATGGACTTCAGGTCTTTGCTAAACTGGTCATTCATGTTATGTATAATTTCGTTTAGCTCATCTAGCTTTTTCTCAGTGTTTTCTATAAGCTCCCTGTTTAAGTTTTGTGCTGAGGTTTGTGAATATGTATAATGGACTCTGTTGCTAGTATGGAGATCCCTTTATTTAGTCTACTTTTCAGTGATCCACTTTGGGCATGGCTAACAATAGTCCTTTGCTTCTGCTTTAAAACCATACAGCCTCTGTGAACTTGGGAGGGGGAAATGAAGTACAATTGGCCCTGTTCCCAGTTCTCTGGAAATGTACCAGAATATTATTAATGTCACAAAGATAATCTGGGTGTTAGTATACACAAAAAAACACTAATAGCATCAATTATGAGACCTGAAAAATATCAAGGAAATAAGCAGTATGACACAAGATAAATTAGGTACTGACATATCAGAAGAACCAATAGTGTGCTGTCCTTAACCACAAAAACAAATTCCACAATGATGATATAAACACTAAGACAATCCAGAAACTGGCATACAACAAATCTGTATTAAATTCAACAACTGTATCTTCACTAATCATAGATAAAGTTCAACAGTATTTATACAAAGTTAACTCTTTAAAAATTAGCAAAGCCTAATTTTATACTATTAATGATATAGTGAGAAGACAATGGGAGAATGCCAGAGGAAAAATTTGAAAACTTAAATTAGGAGAGTTGAGAAGGAAAAGAACAAAATGAGATAAAGTTCATGTTAGGTAGTAGAAGGATATTTAATGAAATTAGACAAAGGTAACTGGAAAAAAGAGTGAGAAATAGAAGGTAAAAGATAAAAGGAGTGCAAAAAGAAATATGAAATGTAAAAAGAAAAAAATTACAAGGAAAAAGATGAGACAAGTAAGACAAAGAAGAAAAAAGAATTAGAAAAAGAAAAAATATATAAAGAAAAAGGGCAAAGGAAAATTTCCCCAAACTTCAATATATCAGTGAAGATGAAAGAGGAATGGAAAAAAAAAATTAGAAAACAGACAAATGCCCCCCAGAAATTCTTAGTTGTATTTTTAGATGAGTGGTTTCCTTCTGAGGACCTCAGGGTTGGAGTCTTACTTGTCATGTTTCTTTCCACGGTGCTCCCCTCTGCCATCCAGAATCCCGTTTGCACTGGGCTGTGGCAATGTCCAAGCCATGACATTCCTGTTCATGCCAGCAGATAAGGAAGGAAGTCAGACCCTACATCCATTCTGGATGGACACAGTAGGGTGATGTTCAAGTACTAAGTGTGTACACTTACAAACCCAGGACAACTCATGCTAGACATGTCTTATTGCCATGGGGTATGGAGCCTGTGTTCTTGCTGGCCCCAGCTCAAACTCACTGAGGGTCTCCTTCCTATACGCCCCCTGTCTGTGGTTGTCTACCATGCTGTCTCTGACTCAGTCTTTGTGAAAAGGTAAAACTTGTAACTCTGTCTTACTATTAGTAGAGAAAGCAGTCTAAACATGTGGCTCAACTCTTAACAGAGGCTTAAGAAAGGACCCTGATGGCATCCTTTCAGATCACTCTGAGACAGGGGATATCTGATGATCACTGACAAAGTTCCCCTTTCACCTCACTGAGGAGTCCAGATAGGACAAGATGTGGAGATATTCTGCTGATTACCTGGATGGGAGGGCTGTCGGGAGCTAGTTTCTTTTGAGGGACCTCTGGGTATCTGCCAGAGAGTAGCCCTGGCCATGACCCCTCAGTTGTCACCTCAGTTTGTGCTAGTTCCACAAAATCAGAGATATTTCCCTGAAAGGAACCCAATTACCTATCTGGTCAATGTTCTGCCCTCCAATGGCATCAATGGGAGTAGGGATTCACCAGATAGCAACTGGAGAAACCTGTCCTCTGCTTTGAGAGTGGCAGCTGTCCGAAAGGCAATTTCTAGATGGCAGAGTAACCATCATTCATTTATAATTCTATAAGGTCAGATAAAAGCCTGAACTTTCCTTATCTGAGATGATTTCATAAGACACCCATTTTACAGCATTTTGAAGCAACTAAGTGCAAATGCAACGCATACAAAAGAAGAATAAACATAATTTTAACAAAACACAACACATAAGAAAAACAAGAAATTGGCAAACATTTAAAATGCACAACTTAAAATTAAGACACTTTTTAGACAAAAGCTGAAACAAAGGCCAGAATTTCTGAAACAAAAACCAGAATCTATGAAACAAGTTATAATCTATGAAGCAAAAAGACCAAAGTTAGAACTTTTGAAAGAAAACTCTTACCTCTGACCTATTGTGGGTGGAAGACTTCCAAAATGATATAGGGCGAAGCGATGTAACTCCCAAACCTGCTAGATATCCAAAACATGAGTTTGTGTTCTCTAAAATTAAAGAATGAATTCTAGGAACCATGGAAGTTAAGAGTAGGAAAAGTGTATTGAGGGAGAGAAAGCTTTTGTCTACATGAGACAGAAGGTAGACTGGAAAGTGGATTGACCCAAAACTTGTAACTCTGAAGGAAGCTGGCCCCCAGGAGTTTTACATCCCAGATTTAAACACTCAGCCCTTTCCTGGAATGATGTCCAACCCCTCACTCTCAGTTGGCAGTGGGAATGCCTGCTCTGTGATCCCTCTTCTGGTGTTGGCTGTGATAAAGAAGAGTACCATCAGAGCAAAACCCTGTACTGTCCCTGCAGATCACAACAGCTTCGGTGTCCTCTCATCACCACCCCAGTCTGCTGGTTCAGTTTCTTGGTGGAGCCCCCATTACTCACCTTGCTTCTGCAGAATCAGTCTCTCCAAAGAGCCCCAAGCTGGGAGCCAAGGAGAAAGTCCAGACTGTTTTGTTCCTGTCTCTACATGTAGTCCATCTCTTCAATTCCTCTGTAGCTTTTAATTTTCATCTCAGTTCCTACCTGATTCCCGGGGCTCTGTTTCTCTCTTTTGTGCTTCTTCCCCAAGTTGTTTCTTCTTGGTGTTGGGATTTTGGGGCTCAAAGAGACTGAATTGCTGCCACTCAGCACTCTACCATTTTTGCGATGAATATACATTTTAGTAGTGGCCATTTAGAATATCTAGGTTATGGGAACATCATTTGTGTTAAAGCATAGAGTTACTAGAAATTGAGACACTATTAGTGATGAGCAAGTAGGAGCAAAGAAAGGTGGTAAAATGTAGTATTTTTTGGATTATGTTCCCCAATTGCATATAAATGCGGAGAAACAAGTTGACTTAAAGTGGTATCCATTCTTGGCTAGTTGTCAAAGTTATTGCTAAATATAAATTGAAAGGTGATTTTTTACAAGCAATGTTAAGTGAAAAATGAGTTCTTAGAGCTTGGAAAAGGGAAAACCCATGCTATAGGAAAGTTACATAAATTTATTTTTCATTTTAACATCTTTTAAAAAATATTTCTACTTTTAATGTATATAATAAAATGTATGTAATAAAAATCTTCTGCACAGGTAACCAGTGTTTGTCATTTGTAGATATTCTTTCAGATATTCTTCTGATATTTGTTTTACATGTAGAGATTGCTGAATTCAGTTGAAATCTAAGCATGATTTTCTAGTTTATGCTCAATGATTTTTCCCTTTTTCTCTTCCCTATAGGCTTGCTATGGGTGTTCTACAGGATCAAAGTGTGACTGTAGTGGTGTAAAAGGAGAAAAGGTAAGATCTGAGATGGTCCTTTGCAAACTTAGTAAAATTGTTAAACTGCCGATTTTTTTTTGTTTGTTTTTTGCTTTTTTAAAAAAATTATTTTTTGGAGGACTAAACCCAGGGCCTCACACTTGCTAGACAAATATTACACCACTGAGTTAAATCCCCAGCCCCTAAATTACTGATTTTTAAAACAAGGACTCTATCTCAGCACGTAAGTAAAATGAATTCTTCTACAATGATTGTTTTAGAGAACTTATTCTATATTAGTCTATATCTCAAAGGTCAGCAAATATTTTCTATTAAAAGCCATGCAGTAAATATTTTAGACTTTCTGGGACACATAAGTTCTCTCTGACACTTTGTTCTTTCTGATATTTTTGCTTTGTTTGTGTTTGGTTACTTTTATTTTTTCCAGGCTGGGGATGCAATCCAGGACCTCCCACATGTGAAGCAAGCATTCTACCACTGATCTGCATACCCAACATTTCTTTCCTTATTTTTTTTTCCTTAGTAAGTCTGTTAGTAGTGACTAAAAGAATCCTTAGCTCTTGGACCATATAAAATAAGCTGCTGATTGTATTTAGCTTGATAATTTTAATCTGTTCACCCTTTATCTATCTTGTTGAAGTCACTGATTTAATAGACAAAAAGAGGGAGAAGACACTTAAGAAAACTAAACATTTATCAGACTACTAATCTGTATTTAATACCATGCTGGAGAATTTCATGTAGATTTATTGAATCCATGTAATTAATGATAAATGAATATATGTTTTTATTGTACTTTTCCCATATAAGCACCTCTGATTACATAGATATGAGGATTACAAAAGAGTATTGGTGAGAACACAAAAGCCTAAACATAGGCATTTTGAGTCAATGACTGACAGTAAAACTTGAAAGTGAAAACATGATAGTGAATTGTAATATAAGTTATACTAGGAGATAGGATTATACTGTAATCCCTATGTTTTGGAACTCAATAAATATTTTTGAACGATTGAATGAATTTGCTAATTATGTAGAGAAAAGTTTGGCACAATATCTCTAAGACTTGTTCTGCTTAGGAATAATAAAAGATTCATTAGCATATTCAAGATGCTTAAAATATTGGAGCAAACAGATCCATTTTTGTTTTGGAGTATTATCCAAGCCTCATCTTATCATATAGTGCACTGGCCTCCTAACAGAACAATCATTAATGTTATGTGAATATTGTTCTACAGAAGACTTATGTGAGTATTATTAGTTTGAGAGCAGTGCTTTTGCAGTAAAGTGTTTTCTGTAGTGCTAAGAACACTTCAGAGTGATTCATTTATCATAATAGTGCAATGCCTTTTTTCATATTGATCCACTAGAGATAAGAACTAAACATTCTGGAAAAAATATTAACAACTATTTTATAACATGGCAAAATGATCAAATGAAGAAAAAGTGAAGAGGATTTTACCCTTAAAAGAAAGCGATTACACTGGGTGAATTTACATTAATATGTTTTCGTATCTCCTGATTACAACACTCAGTCTGCATTGAGGAAGTTGGCTAGAACTATGATAAAAAGCCATAGTCATACTGGCTTGTGAAATCAGAAAAAGAAAGCTTATGATGCCAGAATGGCTAGAAAATAAGAGAAGATATGCTATAATGAAAGGAGACACAGGAGGGACTGAAAATATTCCTGAGAATTCCATTCAAATTCTTGTTTAAATCCTGAGCTTTATATATCTAAAGGATCATTCCTATTGCCAAGCAAAAGAAATAGCTAGAAGACTGCAATAACTGAGCATAGATTTATGTGCTGCTAATGACAGGGAAACAATTGTAAATGTGAGTTCAGCTGAATTAACTATTTTTAAGCAAAATTTCGATATTATTCAGAGGAAGAGAAGAGAACCCAGAGTCTTTCCATATTACCCATGATGTCCACTGTGCAATTAAAACTTGCCAATTAAAAAAAGAACAAATACATAGAATGTGAAATTAATTTTTTTCTCATTGAGTTTATTGGTAAATTTTAGGTATGCACTGCAGTTACATTCATCATTGGGATCTTGTACCTTTACATGACAGGTCTTGGTTCTCATTTTTCCCCATACACCTGCCATCTCTTCATGCCCTCCTCCCTTCCATATTTACAAAAACTATGTTTCCATTTTTTCGTTTTCTCATATTTTTCCTTTTCCCTTGTTTCCTTTCCCCTACCCTTCTCACTTCCCGTACTCCTTTAGACCTTGAATGTGAAGTTAATTTAATGGCCCAAACACACAACTACAGAGTTGCAGATTAGAATTTGAATCTCTTTTTATGTAATGGGCTTTTAATACATCTTATATAGTCTGGAACTTAGACTTCTAGCAATAAAACTAAATGTTTATCATTTGTAAAAAGATAAATGCTTGCCTATTAAAAATAATCTATAGTTATGAAGAAGACCTAAATCTAAAATAATACAAGCATGGAGGTTTGCCTCAGTGGCAAAGTGCATGATTAACATGCTCAAGGTTTTGGGTTTTATCCCAAGATCCCCCACTGACACACCAAATAGTATAGGTGTTAACAGTTTTAATTGAAGACTTAAAACAGATAAGATAAATATATCTTCTGAGTTAAAAGAAAATTTACTTATAAGCTAACAGATAAGGAGTCACAACAGTACTGAAAACTATCAAAAAAGGATTTGAAAAACAAACATACGAAAAAAAGAGTTCATCAGGTGTGCTTAAGAACAGAATTGAGATGATAAAAGAAAGGATCTGTGAATTTAAAAATTTAAATCACAAAAATGGTCTCATCTGAGGAACACAGAGGGAAAAATAATGAATAGGATCTCAATGACTTGCATAACAATATTTTTTCCCAATACTGGGGATTGAACTCAGGACCTTGTACTCGCCAGGAAGGCAAGGAGCCATTGAGCTCTATTTGCAGAGGCATAACAACATTAAATATTTGGAAATAAATATAGAGTACCATAAGGATAAGAGAGAAATGGCAGCTGAATAGAAATAAAAATGGGGCAGTAATAATGGCAAGAGTTCACCACAATAGTTGAAAAATACAAATTCAGAGACAAAAGAAGTTCAACAGATATTAAAAAGAGAAAAACAGGGTGAAGGGAGGGCAGGGGTCAGGGGAAAAAATGAGAACCAAGACCTGTCATGTAAAGGTACAAGATCCCAATGATGAATGTAACTGTACTGTATACTTAAAATGTACCAATAAACTCAATGAGGAAAAAAAAGAGAAAAACAAAGAAAATTATACATAGGCTCTCATTATAATAGAACTACTGAGAAAAGACATTAAAATAAAATCTTGAAAGCTAGAGGAAAAATTCACCTTAGTACAATGGAACAATTATATGAATAGTGATAGGCTTTACACTAGAAAGACTGGATGATGTACAACTGTAAAAATATTATTAGAACTTGAAAAAATCTGAAAATAATCATACAGTGAAAATATATTTCAAAAACAGGCAAAATTAAGGTATTTTGAAAGATATAGAGAAGTCAATATAAATGCATGAAAATAAATAGAAATCTATTCAGGTTAAAGGGACTAGACAGAAGTGTTCAATGAAAAGCATTAGAAATGATGTATTTATGATTATATTTGTGATGTATAGGTGATATAAAAAGATATATCTTTTCTCCTCTTATTTAACACAAAAATTATTTAACAATTATAAGAAGTCCAAAACACATAAAGCCAAACTAGAAAAAAATTAAAGGGATAGGCAAATTCACAATTATAGTGGTAGATTCTAATACTCTTATCTCAGTCATTGAACCAACTAGGAATAATGTTAGTAAAGGCATAGATGAGCTGAATCTCATTGTTAACAAATAGACATTATTGACATATAAAATCCTACATCCACCAACTACAGAGTACAGGTTTTTTTCCAAGGGAATATGAAATGTATATCAAGATGGACTATAGGATGGGCCACAAAATAAGAGCCTATGAATAGTAAATGATCAAAAACATTAGTGCATAATCTCTGAATGTAATGTAACGAGTAAGAAATCAATAATAATTTTAATATATATGCTAATTTAAAATATTTATACCACTAGTTTAACTGATGTCTTTGAAAAAGAGAATCTTGTTCATCTGTCTTATACTCTGAGTAACTACTTTAAATGTAATGCTACACAGTTTACTAACTTTTGTTGCTCTTATTATGAAATTTTACCTTTTTTCATAAAATAAAAAATAAAGGAAATCAACAAAAATAAGATATGTAGAATATCTTCAACTATGTGGAAATTACACAGCATCTTTCTAATAAGTGAAGGAGGAAATCACAAAGAAACTTAAAAAATATTTCTAGTATATTGTTTAAAAGCAACATCTGAAAACTGTGAGATGACAAGAAAGCAGTGTTTAAATGAGAAATAGCTTTAAAAGTCCATGTAATAAAAGAGGAAAGATGAAAATTAGTTCTTGAAGTTTCCCACTTAACTAGCCACAAAAGGACAGGGAAATTCAATTAATAGAAAGAAAGAAATATATATAAGAAGAAAAATGTAGGTACTAGAAAACAATATAAAAACTTTCACAGATGTAATTTGTTAATTGATATAACAATAAATGTGACAGTTTAGGTGAAAGGGAAACATTTATTAAGAAACAAACATTAACAAAAGCAAGACTAATAAACAGATAAATAAGTAAAATAATTTAAAAAGCAAAATATGAACATCAGTGTTTCAATTAAGGAAATTGACTTGTCAATTCTTCTAAGAAAATTCCAGCTAGGGTTTTCTCTCATGAATTCTACAAAATATTTATTTAAGAGATAATGTATATCTTGCATAATTTCATTCATGAAATTGAGGGACAGGAAATGCTCTGCATATAATTTTCTTAGGCAATCATATCCTTTATTCCAAAGGCATATAAAAACAAAAGTACAAAAATACAAAAAGTGTTGGGCATGGTAGCACATGCCTATAATCTCAGCCCTCTGGGAAGCTGAGGCAGGAGTTTTGCCAGTT